CTGACATCTGTTCATTTCTGTGCTGTTCTCTATATTCAGCTGAAGCTGCAGCTGTCAGAGTGTCAGAGCCAGCTGGATGTGGCCCAGAAGGAGGCCCAGGCACACAAGGAGGAGCTTGAACAGGTGACTTTACTGACTTAACCTGCTTTCCCATCTTCCAGACAATATTAACATATTTGCATAAAAGTCTAACTGAGGCGAGAGGAAGACACGTTACTTATGAGATGTCACATGTCAAGGAATTTGTTTAAATCCCTCCTTGCGCACGTTACGTATGCAAACCAACAAGGTAGGGTGTCAGTGACGTGTGACACAAAGGGAATTCATCGATGGGAGGTTTATGTAACCGGTGATTATCGATGACTTCATGTTTCAGGTCAGAGAGCAGCTGGGCGAGATCACGATGCGGGCTCAACAAGAACAGAATGGCCCCACTGACGCCCAACCCAGTCAGGTCAGGGTGCAACGGTCACAGGGCACCCTTCACTCCCTGTCAGAGAGTACTGGACAGTGACTAGGACACTTCTCATTTCTTATTTATTTATTTGGATCAGTCCTCTAATGAGCCTGGTTCAATTTCAAAGAAAATCCCTAAAAATAAATGTGTTACTGGTTTGTTACTCTGTATCTGTTTAAGACGTGATCTGGCTCAGCACATGGTTAAACTGATGCCCTAAATTAAGGATGTGGCCTAAGTACACGGATACTGGGTAACCAATGACACGGATAAAGAAGTGCTGCATTTCCAGTCTGTCCAGTACTCCTCTGACACAGCGGCTGTTTATGCTAACCACTGTTTGCATTGACTGAGTGGACATAACTCTAACCACCTTTTCTCACCTTTTTCAGCATGCTCACTTATCCTCCTTTTTTGTTTGTTTTTTTTAATGTTAACAGCAGATTTTTTGAGTTTTTGTTTGACCTTTCGCCTAAAATAGTCTGAGAGGCAACTAACTTGGCACACAGGTCGAGCAGCTTTTGCGTGTGTGGGTGTGTAGTGCTGCAGCTTTGGCACAAGAATGTTTGCATACAACCATGTATGTGTTAGCCATTTGTCTGTGTGTATATTTATTGTGTGTGTGTGTCATTTTTTTGTCTGCCATCAGGTCCAGAACGAGTTGAGTCAGACAGCTGAGAAACTGCACGGGGAGGTGGCTCAGAGGCAGCAGCTTTCGGAAGAGTTTGAGCAGGTAGCAGCCTTTGTCGATGCTCTTTTGTCTTTGTCACACCACAGGGTGACTTATAAACTCTCAGTGCTTAACACAATTGTCTTTGTGTGCTGTAAACTTCCAGGCCCAGAAGACTATAACAGAACTTCAGGCTCAGCTGGTTTCTGCAGAGTCACCACAAGCTGACACAGAAGATGTTGCTCAGCTCAAGGTGCGGGAACACCCAGAATCCAAATGTGATTTATGCTGTCAGCTATGGGTCTTTGATGTCACTAAAGCACTCATCCACACTTGATTTATGAAGCCGCAAGTGTTCAATGTTGAATATAAAATAAATATATATATATATACGAAATATATAACCATGAATTCTTGCAACAATTACATTTTATTTTTTTTAAAAGCTCAGCTCATTCTTAGTATCATCTTGCTTGATTTTACAATAGCAGAGTTTTTTGAAGGTTGATTTAATTTAAGCTGTTTCTTATTTCAAAATATCCTTTTTCAAAGTCTGTTTTTACCTCACTATTTTTGACAGTGGTTATTTTATAATGCCACTTGGCTGTTGCTTCCTGTTTGAATGACTGGACTCTCATTTACATCGCTGACTCTTCCCTGTTTGTCTTGATTGTCAGATAAAGACATAGTGATGGAAAGTGATATAATGAAATAGAAAGGTCACTGGGGAAAGATTGCGCTGTGAATGAACATCTTTGGAAAGAGATGTCAATGACGTGTTGTAAATTTATCTATTATTTATCAGGAAGAAGAAACATTTCATGTAATAAGCTGAGTTTTAAATGTTACCGAATTATTTCACAACTTTATGGTTACAGGTTGCATTTTGCACCTTATTTATTTGATAGTAAACACTTTGAGCCTCCATCATTTTTGCTCGGTGCTTTTGAGGTAATGTTTGCCACTGCTGTCTGAACAGGAGCGCCTAGATAAGGAGAAGAAGCTGTCCAAAGACCTGGGCCAGGCAGCCACTAAGCTCCAGCAGCTTCTCAAAGCCACTCAGGAGCAGCTGACCAAAGAGAGAGACACCGTGAGAACACTACAGGAGCACCTGGAGGGCAAGGTGAGACGGCCGTCATGGGGAAACTACACGTACACACTTCTCCGTTCAAACTGTTTTAGTAATACTTTTTCTACAATTTTTTAATCTTTTCCTTATCTCTGTTTTCTAGGAAGAATACGTGGAGCTGAAGGAAGGAACGTCCGTCTGAGAGGAAGTTTACCGCAGACACTACAAAAAAAAAAAAACTGCCAAATATGCCTTATGATTACCATAGTTATGCATTCCAAAACTATTTCTTTCTTGTACTGTAGTTGATTGCATTTGTTGCAACTGTAGGAATCAAATGTTTTGATATTATGAACATTTCAAAGTAAGATTAGAGGAGCGAATCCTACTACAATCTTTATTGAAACCCACATTCCATCAACAATTCTGGCTATGTCAGAAGTTATTTATCCCCCCTGCCTTATATTCCAAAAAATTTCCCCATAGTTCAGTGTTAAAAAGGGAAACCGATTGTACGTCAAACGTACATCAACCTGTGCAATTACTTTGTATGTCTTTTCTATGTGGTTGAGTGATGGGAACATTTTATGGTTCAATGTTTCACTACCTTTTAGAGCCTGCTTTCCTCTGTAGCTGGCTGCCAATAACACACATCGAATTTGTATGAATGAATAAACTACAGTGTAGCTCTATGTAATTCCTCTTCTGTGTCTGTGTCTGTTGTTGTTGTTGTTGTTAAGGTGCAGAAAGCAGAGTAAAAGTTGGCTACTGTGAGTTTATTGATATAGTTTCACATCCTGTGAGCAGCAAATATGTACATCAGCCTCATGACACTAAAATATTAACACACTGGCTACACTGTTATTTAAAAAAAAAAAAAAAAAAGCTGTTTGCAAAACCTTGTCACAACTCAGCTGCATAGAGGACAATTTCTGACAGGAAGTATGACTACACAGCAACATCCTGACAGTATATCATCATACAGCAAAATGGAGGGTTATAATTTCTCCCCATAGCACACACTGTGCTCTAATCTCTTTATCCTTTGTAAACATGACTAGTGTTTTCTAAAGCTTGTTGTAAGTGTGGCCTTGCATCGCTTTAAGCTTTACACACAGTAGGGTTCAGGTTGCATCAGTGGTTCACAGGCACAAGGAAGTATATTGCAAGATGGAGCTCGTTTGTGGGCTTTTTCAACAACCATGTATGGTTGTGTTTCGGTCATGATCTTCGTCGTTGTCTCACCCTCGACCCTCCCCCCTTCAACACACCCACACTACTGTCTTTCTTAAGAGACTGGAGTGAGCAAAAAAAATTAAATCGAAACTTAACTTCATTGAGTCCTTGTTTCATTGTACACTCAGCTTTTCATGTGCCATAGAAACGGATGAGCGGTTGGCCCGTGGGGAGTATTCAGCCAAGACACAAATACACTCACTGGCAAAGCGGAAATTGCACAAAAGATACCAAATAAATGTTGAATAGTCTGGTTATAAGCAACACAAATCATGAAAGTAATAGTTAGGCGCTCATTCTCTTTCTTTCTGCTAGTTAGATTAATAGACTAATATCAGTTCCATGCATTAAATGAAGGTAGAGCCAGCAGCCAGTAAACTAAGCTCTAAGCATGAGGATGAAGAAAGTGGCAAAATCCACCTACCAGCACGCCTTAAGTCCACTTATTAATGCATTAATGGTTTTTTTTTATCAATACAAACATACAAGCATAACAAGTTGCTGTTTCTCAGGGGTTAAGCCTATAGCCAGTAACTTCTCTTCTTCTTTGCCTCTGTTGGTTGCCTGGCAACAGGATTTTGCTGCCAGGCTTTTTGTCCTTCCAGTCTGAGTTAAAGCTCACTGGCTGCTGTCTACATATTTAAGATTATGAGTGTGCTAATCTTCTCTTCTGATTCTCACACAGAGAGTGACTAAGTGTATTTCACAAAGAGTCAATAAGGGTTGTTTTGCGAGTAGAATAAGGAGTATATTATGTGTGAAGGTGTGACCAACAAAGGAAGATAATTGCCTGATTCACCTTGTGGTCCTTAGAGCTGCAGTGATGAATTATGAATGAAGAGTATTAAATGAGTGAAGAAATTATCACATATACAAGTATATTACAGATAGCATCAGTGGAAGTGCTTGGTTTAATTCCAGATACACCTTAACTTAACCAATTTCATCTGGCCTCCCAAATCTGACCACAGGCTTTGTGAAGGGGAAAAATTTTCCTTGGATACATTCAGGCACTAAGACCAACCCCCAGCTAAATGCTTATCATAGCCTTCACCCATACTCGCTTTTTTCAAAACAGTCAATTTTCACCTAATAAGTAGACACAAACATGGGTTGTAATGGAAATGGCTGTTTTGCACTGATAGAGGCCAGAGTACGAGAAACATTTTAAAAATTCAGATTTGATAAAATGAAAACAAATAGTGTGTGAACATTTATTATTACTCTGCCCAATCATTTAGCTATAAGTAAATCATATCCATATTTTATAAAAAAGGTGTAGAAAGAAACTAAACAGCACACACACTTGTACCATTGGCTGCATTAAATTTATTTGACAATACTCAGACAGTGCAACATTGGTTGCATTTTCAGTTAAACTTTCTTTGTAAAAGTTGTATTATTATTTGTGTCTATAAAAGTGTAACAGTCTAGAAAAAACAAAACAAAAAACAACACGTTACAACATGTCATCAGTAACCAATCTGTAAAGCAATACCGATGGTGTATACTGGAGCATAGTGGGATTCAAACACTATGTAAGTGCATAAAAACACCTTTGAGAAATATAAATGTGTCAATAGTTTTATTAATGTATAGATACATACCAGCATGAATAAAATTACATCTGGACAAGACTGATTTCAACCAGACTGGTGTAATTGGTAAGTTTATTAGGGTAACAGGAGGTCTGTGTTACAGGAATCTAATCCTATCAGGAGCCCAACCCTTCTCTTCGAGCTTTATTGAACCAATCCAAAAAAAAAAATATGAAGTCCATTTGGAAATTTTGCCATTTGCTTTTGTAATCCCTTTAAATTGACCTTGTTTTGAAACAGCGGGGTGAGGGGGGGGGCGGTCAGGCTGTTTAACTTTGTCCTGTGGGGTGCACAGGATGGCCCTCGAGTTTGATTATGTTTTTTCCCAGTTTGTCTGCGAAAATATCCCTGGTGCTGCAGTCTGCAAAGTCATTCAACTGCAGATCGTGTTTCAAGCCTGTTGAAAACATAGAAGAGGGAACACCACTTAATTTCATATATAAAAAAGGTTATCAATGTCTTGGAAAGTGTAATGTAAACTTAAAGGGAAAAAAAACAAACTTACCTGGCATGGCTTTCTTAAGAGCCTCTTTTGAGCTAGCGTAGTTCATTTTCTGTTTGATGGATCCAGTGTCAGGACACCTGATAGGAAGAGAAATCATTATCCCAATTGTCTCATAACTTAAGTATTCTCTCTCTCACTCACACACACACACACACACAATATGTATCCTCAGAATAAAATTAGCTCTTGTAAGAATTTTACCACAAGTCTACTGTTAGTCATCCTCTACAGTCTACAGTCAGTTGAGGGAAAATACACTTAAAGAGTTTTTATGCCTCAGTCGCAATGCAAGGACCTACCACAGCGTAAAGACCAGTTCTTCCTTTACACTTGCTTCCTTGGTTTCAAAGTGGCAGTCATACAGTATATAGCTGCACTGCTTAGGGTCCAGCAGTTCCTGGTAAAACTTGAAGACATCCTTGCCCTCCAGATCTTTTTCGAGGTACATTTTCACCACGTCAATGTTATCCTCAACGAAGCCAAATACTACAATCCTTATACGTTCATTCTGATCAGCATCATTTTTCACAAGTTTCATGTCATTGTAGAGTCCCTTCACTCTGTCAGCGACTTTGACTCCAGACGCCTGTTTTTTTGAGAAAACACAAAACATTACATGTCAGTATCTAGTTCAAAAAACCATCGTCTGCAACTTGTTTTGTTGACACAATTAGATTTTATCAGATGTACTCTTTGGAAGGTATTAACCCGAGGAGGTCACAGGTAATGTTTGTGAGCTAATGAATTCAAAATCTATCTTGAATCTAATGTTCCACTCATTTAAATGACATAATGCCTTAAGACAAGAACATAAGAAAAAAAACACCAAAAATGTTTTGTTACAAATGCTCTCGTAACTTAGCCACTGAAATTTTCCAGCTGCGTAAGATTTTGTATTTTGAATAACAATATGAATCATATGTCTTAAGAGTAAATGGCTGATTCTATTCTCTTTTAAAAGTGACAAAGCAGCTGTATGCATTTCCGCAAAGACACAAGAGTTTAGCACCAAGTCTAATTGGCCAGTTAAATGTATACATTTGTGTAAAAATAAGAGACTGATAAAAGACCATCACAGTGTATGCACTTTGGTGAATTTGGGCCTTACAGTTGCTCATATTTAAGCAGATGTTTGTTCACTTGTACGTTGGTGTCAAAAACCCAGAAAGCAGAACTTTAAAAAAAAAAAGGATGAAGAAACAGGAAGTTCTTCAAAACTAGACATTGGAGAGAAGTGTTAAAGCTGTTTAAGATGTTCAATGTGCAAATACTCTACCAGCCTTTTAGCAGTAACATGCCGTGGGTGTAGCCTGCTCTATGAATTTTCAAGGCTTTGGCTCTGTCACATTCCAGTCATTGTGGAACAAGTTAGCACAAGAAAGACCGCCCCAAGGGATTCTCTCAGAACAAGTTTGAAGCACGAACAAAGCTCCCTCCATTTTGGAGGCAAAACCACACCTTGAACAAGCCCTTTCAAACACTAAACTCTCTCTTCACTCAGCAAACCATTTCCTCAAGGAAAGAACACATGAAAACGTCACACACATATTCACACGTTGCCAACCAGGCTTCACTCAGTTTACCTATTTTTTTACATATATTGTTAAAATGAGGATATGGCACTGCAAAGTTTCATCAGTTCTAGATTATATGTCCTGCAGGGTGCACAAATCACAAAAAGAAGTTGTTAACTGACACAGTGCACAGTCAATCCAAAGCAGAAATCTTTGGGAAAGTTACTCACCATTTTTGCTTCTGATGTGTGAAGGAAGCAGGCAGCAGAGAAAAATGGCAGCAGCAGTCAAAATGCTGAAGGGTAATAAGGAAGGAGAGCAGGTTGACTCATAGAGGAGGAGCCGGTGTAAATGAGCACACCTCCAAAAGTAGGCCCACCCACCTTTTCCCAGGTGTGACACAGCTTGTCCTGCAACCTCAGCATTTGAATTTAATCACATTACATTTGAAGCTTAAATCACAATGGATAGATGGGCTACATTGTCCGGCACAATGCGCACATTTTGTCAACCTTGCCATTTTTTTACCTTTGGCGGAGATAGAGGTCTTAATTTTGAGGTAAAATATCCAGGTGAGCTTGAGCCAGTCATGGGTGGGAGCGGCACATAACATCCTTATATGGAGAACAAACCTGTCCACATTTTTAACTCATCTGCTGCTGAGATGCAGTTCGGTGGCCTTATAAGGTAAAAGATAGGATGAGTGTACAGATGTGTCAAAAGGATTTATCTATCTACCTATGAGGTGAGATGTTACACCTCCATTGTATTCATAGTCATAGTCAGTTAACAAAAACATGATTAATGTCAATACAATCTTACACCAAACACAGGATTGTATACATTTTGATATGATTCACGTGAAAACTGATGAGTGCAGTTTATATGATTCATAAAAAGTGACTGTGGTGCACTTAAAAAAGTAGAATGAAGACTCAGTGCCAGGCCTGTTTTTCTCACAGTCACATTAAAAAAAAAGAGTGTAATTGTTGGCATGTTGGTGCAAGGCTATTGGAAAACTACATCGAAGAGCGAAGAGGGAAAAAGCCAAAATCAGAATCAATGACGGAAACTGATTTAAACAGGGACTCTTGAAGATATGTATGATAAGTCTGCGTCTGTCTTTAGGATAATAAAGTTTAGAACTTTTCTGGAAAGTCCAAGAATGTAGCTAACTAGGGATTAGGGGCTTGGTTCACAGACGAGGAACCTTAGTCCCCTCCCACTTTCCTCCGATCCTACAGTACTTCTACTCAAGTACTGCGCTTAAACACAATTTTAAAGGTACTATTCTGAGTATTAACATTTTCTGTTGGTTTATACATCTCCTCCAGAGCAGTTCTGAAGCAAATATTTTACATTTTACTCCTAAATATTTGTTACTGTAGCATTAGAGTTAACTAGTAGACATCTAAACAAGAAGTGAATAAGTGATGCCATTCTCTCTCTCTCTCTCTGTATTCATTTCTAATATTTGTTGTGCATAACTTTAAATAGCTACATTACAATAAGGCAGATAGGTATGGAAACATGTGAGTGAAGATTTTAGAATATGTGGGGATCACACATCACACACATACAAGGGATTTTCTCAGCACTCTTGAGGGGATAAAATATGAAATCTAAAATGTGCAATGTTAATGCTGCTGTCTGCTGGAGGCACCAAATAAAGAATACAACAACTACCAATGACAAAAAGGTTTTTTCTTGTGTCAACTACTGAACTATTTCTTTTTTTTTTTGCAAACAAGAGGATAACATCTTCATCCTTTTTTCTTTTTTTTTTTAGATGATACACATAGTTTAGCTCCTTTTGATGGATACTTTAGGGTATAATAAACCCTTCCTCCACAGTGACTATTTTTAAATGTAGATACTCTGCTTTAGCGTCACAGTGGCTTTGCTTCCTCTGTGTGGATTAGTGGTTTAAAGTCAGTCAGAGAGCCCCGCCCCACATCCGCACCAGCTTCTGTTCCAAAAAAGCAGGCTGCCTGAATGCACGTGTCACAGCTTGCCTGCTAACATTTGAATTGCAAGCACAGGAATCTGTGACTTGTAAAGAAAATCTGAAATATCTCATTCATGTCAAATAGCTGACAATCTGTTTAACAGTAGTAGTGAAATAGTTAGCTACAGAAAGCTCTTTTGGTGGCTTGAGGGTGGGTTTTTTTTTAGGTTTATCATCATAACTGTGGTAAGGCCTGCCCTACCAGACCTAATGGAAGCCTGCAGCAACTTTTCAAAGTAGTAAAAGGGGAAATACAACCCCGAACCACACAGAACAGGAAATGGCTGCTGCATAACTCTCTGTCAGTTGAAAACTTCATGCTGCTGCAAGCACATTGCAAGTTTGGCCACAACCCAGTCGCCGACGTCAAAGCAGCAAACCCAAATCTGTGAGAACTCTGACATCTACTGGTAAATACAGGCACTGAACTGTTAGATGTGATGTCTGAATCACTCTGTGGAGAGTGACACCATCTGCAACCAAAGGCCGGGGCGGTATGTATGAAGAGTTACATTTGTGCATCATAAAAAAGTCTTAAAGAAAGACAATGAATAAGAAAACAAATTCCAGAAATAGAAATTTTACTTTGAAAAGAAAGGATTCATATTTAGGTCGACCCCTCTTTTCTCTGTTTTGGAAAAAGACAGAAATAATTGTACATATATTCAATTAATATACACACATATTTTTAGATTTCCACAGACAGTTCCACTTACTGACGACTACGTACTATAACCTCCTACAACTCATTGAGATTTTTATGAACAACATCCCAACGTGCCTTTAATTGAAATATCTTATAATATTGACAAATCTTTTATTAATTTTTACTCGTTATTATGTCTCTCTTTCTCAATATACATATAAACATGTCCATTTTGTTCATTATCACTATTATTGTTATTATCATGATCATTGATCTTCTTATCGTTACTGATAATAATAATTATAGCAAGTCTTATTATTATTATTACTATTTTTATATGTTTAATATTATTGTAATATAATATGGTTATTTATTAATATTATATAGAGAAAAATATATACATTATTATTATCCCAAACTAACAATACAAATTTGTCATAGCAATTCCCCCCTGAAACACACATTTAACTGCAGTAACCTCATTACATCACCATCATTATTACATTTATGATGACTTTCCTCATCTTTTTCCATGTATTCCATGTATCAGTTCTTACTTGTTTTCTTGCCTTTTTGTATTTTATTCCTGTTTATCATTGCAAAACCTTTTTTTAAAAAAAGAAAGAAAGAAATATCTTATAAAAGCTTTCCTCTTGCATTTTACAATATGCTTAAGTTTATATAATTCAGATACAATGATTAGTGGGAAGTCTCAATGCTAATCAAAATCTGCATGAGGATGCAATGCAGCCATGACACATCACTTTGAAGTTTGAAGGCCTGATAATGTCTTAAGGTCATTTTCTTAAGGTATGTAACTTGATGTATGACATAGTGGGACAGTTGGAAAGCCTGTTTTACATGTTACGCTTTGACACAGTTTGGTTTACACTGAAGATTGTATGGAGAAAAAACATTGTTGTTCTGACCTCGGTTCGAGTTTCAAGTCTTTTGGGTGAGGTCAATTTAATTTTTTTTGAGTTGACTATTATAATTCTGCCACTCAAAACAATAATAAGTAATAAGCTATAGTTTCAATTAGCCTAATAGACATTATCTGGCCTGAGTTTACAGCAATTTGCTAAAGCATGCTAGAAAATGCATGAAAGTTGATTGTGATTTAATGTGAAGTAATGTGAATATATATATAAATATTTGTTTTTTATGTCCCTTTTTTACAGATGTGCCATACACTTTAAATGTGCGATATAAATAATTGATTTGGTTAGATTTGATTGAACCTTTTTCAGTACGAAGAGGCAAATTAGTGGTTATATGTGTTTGCATTTGCACACAGAACTATAATTTATATATATGATATAATTCCCAAACGCCTTTTGATTTCTTTGATCATATTTCATCAGTGTCTGTGGCAGTAAAAATCTTGCATGCATTAAAAGAACTAGAAGATTGACATAATTCTCACAGTATGAAACTACCACAAACAGCAGGTTAGCTTAGTTAGTATAAAGACTGGGAACAGGGGGGAAACTGCTAGCTCGGCTTTGTCCAAACATTAAAAAAGCTGCCTACCAGCACCTGTAACCCCTGTTTCAAGTCTTTATGCTACGCTAAGCTCACCAGCTGCTGGCTGTATACATATATATACTGTATATATACATCCTATATAATAATACTGCAAATCTTTATTGAATACTGAACAAACAGAATCTTATTTGTGGGACACATTAAACCTTTATTAAGTTTGTTGCATAATCAAAGTCCAATTATTTCCCCTGAAAATCAGTAACTATTGATTAGGTTGTTACACAAGACACAAACCGCCATTCACCAGAAAAAAATACAGCATATTCAGATATGATGACTCTTCAACACAAGTCTTCAGCTGTTAACAGTCAGTGCTGCTCTACAACATCGCCAGATTCAGCCACTGTGGATGAAAACACAAGCACAAGTCACTGAGTGGTCCATAAACCATTTATATTTCTGTGTCATTACCACATCTCGACTCTTACCTCCATAAAACCCAGTTCTATCTCACCGTCCCCGTCCTTGTCCAGGGTATTGAAGGTGTCTGTAAACAATAATAATAAAACATTGTAACTCCATATAATGTCTGCATGGCTGTAGAATAGAAATATGGTCACAGTGACAAGAACTCACTGAAGAGTGACTCTAAGCGGATCAGGCTGCCCACAAAGTTATCAAAGTCAATGGTGAGGCTTGGTTCACTGTAGCGGGCCACAATTATCTGATGCAGAGTGTTGTTGAGAGAGAAGCCTGCCAGAATGATGAGAAAAGATGAAGTTAGAGATAAAAGTTAATGAAACAACAAACCATGAAAATCTAACCAGTAACCTCTATCCTCTTGTCCCTATAACTCCAAACTTTTCCCCTTGTATGGCCAAAACTGAAACTTAGAAAATACAGGCAAACACCAGTTTTTTGCTGCTACGTATTTAAAGAAAAAAATACCTCACAACAAATAAAACAGCATAAACAGTGATTTATTTTATACATTTTTTAAATAAATCTTTCATTTTCTTTTTCTAGAAACATCTGGTGGACCAAGTCAAACATTACGGCTAGCTAACTTTGGGCCACAGGCCCCAACTCTTTGTAACTCTTTATAGGGTAGAGGAGTATAGAGAAATATAATTTGTGAAATGGACTTCTTACCAGCAGCCTCGACAGCCAT